CTAGCCCAAATTCCAAGGAGTTCTGCCTCCCTCAGCCCCTCTATAGGGTTTCATTTGGCTATAGCAGCCTTCCTCCCTTCCTGTTCAGTGCTACTGTTTGTGCTGTCTGTTGTAATCCACCATATGGCTGTGCTTAATCATTGCCTTGGTTGGGTGACCTTGAGTATCACTTGGGATTTTTTAGAAGAAAAGGTTTTGTAGAAATGTGAACATAGAGTCCCTTTGGCAGTAAGTTGGTATTCAACATAACATGCACGGGGCCTTACCACAAGCTGCAGTTCAGAGCTGTGTGCTTCTCTTCACTAGTTCTCAAAAAACAGGAAATGCAGAATATTTTTTTAATTTGTTGTCGTAAGCCTGTCCTGGTATGTGACGTAGTCTCAAAGATGAGATTATTTTTTTTTCTGTTGAGATGCAGAGTCTGCAGTCTAGTTTCTGTTGTAGTTCTAGTCAAACTGTTAAACACGAAGTGTGGTTTAGAAATAGAAGGGCTTTCAGGTACATATGTGTAAGGGCAGGCGCGCTGTTGCAGACTTAGATGATGAGCTGCAAAAAACACTTTAGCTCATCATAAATATTTGTTCTTGCTACTGCTTACTACTAATGCACCCCTGTACTATGACTAGAGTTGTAAGTGTTCTGAAAGTGTCCATATGGGTGCAGCCTGTGTATATTAAGCATGTACTGCTCTGAGCTGCCACCAGCCACGAGTAGGCAGGAGTAAGCTCTGGTCTTGGAATATGCCTGTGGGTTTAAGGCAGTTCTATGGTAAGATGAACAAAAAATAATCATGACTTGCTGTATTTCACTAACAGTCTAACTCTGTTGATGGTAGCTGTATCGCAATGTTATTTGTCTCCCCCCCCCAGTTCTTCTCTATCCCTCCTCTTAAACTGCTGACAGCAGTCCTCTTTACCAGCTCCCAGATTTCTCTGGAATGTTTTACTAATTCTTGGAACAGTTCATTAGAGATACTCATTCAAACTTTAACTATATTTCAGAATTTTTCATACTTGTGAAATAAATAAATTATGCCCATTTTCGGGTGGGAAAATCAGGCAAGCATACAAAGCCCACAAAATGTTGCACAGACTATGACACAAGTTGAATGAAAGAGGTGGGTAGAAGGGTACCAATATGGAACTTATTTTCTAGCCAGCAGAGATCTCTCTCCTTTATATGACCTGATTTATTCCTAATTTGAAAATTAATTTAAAGGTTAAGTAGAGGGATAAAGGAAACAGAAGATTATTGGTTTGTGACGGAAAGACTTATACTCCGGTCTGTCTTTGAGTAACTTTGAATTTCTCTGGTCATTCTAGATCTTTGGCTGTGCTCCATGTACAACAGCCTTGGATTGGCTCTTGGGACATCTGTTAATCTATATATAGGATTCACACACTTGCACACGTAAACAGGTGATCTCCTAAATATATGAAATGGTGTTGGGAACTCCAAGTACTTATCAAAGCCAAAATGAATTCAGGAGTGAACTAAGTAATCCTTTTTGCCCCCCTCCCTGCCACAAAAATAAGCTGTATTGGAAAAAAGTGCATTATGTGCTGATTATAACTTGTGCTTAATATGTATGTATATACATTCATAAATCCCAGGAATTACTTAGTGTCTATTAAAAGTATCCTGAAAATGACCTTTTTCCTATTCTCCAGTTTAGTCCTCTTGACAGTTGCTAGTTTCTTGCTGTGAAGGGACGTAGTGTTTAAAAATAAATGGTGCATATAATGGGTAGAGAAAAAGGGTAGTAGATGGTAACTGGTATAGAAATAAGATATATTTAGAAAATTCATAAGGGAAGCTGAAGTCAGGAAGGGAATTTTATGTCATTTGATGAAGTCTCTCTATCTGTCTGGCTGAGACTGATTTCTAATAAATTTGGGAACAGCAGGGAGACTTCCGTAGAGCGAAAGACCAGTAACATTTTGCATCACTACTGAAAAAGGGTGAGTGAGTAAAGAGTGGCCAATCTGGTAACAGTTCCAGGAAAAAACTGTGGAAAATTTGATAAAGAATTTAGATGGTATAATAATAGTAGTATAATCACGCTAGTGAGCTTTTCAGTTTGTGAAAACAGGTCTGTTCAAATGTGGTTTTGTTGTTTGGATACGTGAAATTTGGTTGCTAGGGGTTTTTTCTCAGTGTAATAGACTTTCATAAGGTCTTTAACTAGTAGTGTGTTATATTTTGGTTTTTAAAAGTATCTTTGAATTTAATGAAGTACTGCTTAAGTGGCTTAAGAACTGACTGTAATCAAAGAAAGCAGAAAAGCATTTCTAGTTGGGATCAGCCCAGTGCGGTCTGGAAACAAACACAAGATGGTAACTCTGTGGATGGAACGAAGATTAGTGGAGGCATAAATAATGACGTTAAAAAAAAGGTTTAGATCATTTAGGCAAACTGAGACAGTTGGGCAAAATGTGCATAAATAGAGGTGAGGGCAGAGTTATGCACCAAGGAGCAAAAAATGCCAGCCACACCTGTGTGGGGAAGTTTTTCACTGAAAATCCTTGAGTCTGGGAGGTGAAAGGCAAATAGTAGGTATAGTCAGAAATGGGAGGGAAAGTAGATGGTCCTAGCAAGTAAATAGCAAAGTGGCAAAAAGAGCTAACATATATTGCTAGCTGTGTAAGTGGAAAGACATGAGTAATAATGAGATTATCTGCACTTAAAGCTGTGGAGATAGACCTGATGCTATAGGACTGTGCCTTGCCTGTATACATTTAGTGACATGTGCTAATTTAGGGTATGGAAATGAGTCCCTGAAATGGCTCACTAGTGGAAATAATGCCACACAGCAAGAGATTTAATGTGCCGTTACCTAATAGGGCTGAAATCACTTAGTGGCATACTGCTGCTGTGGAAGGATGACGTCTCACTCCCACCTTATGTTAGTGTTAGCAAATACCTGGCTATACAGTTGTCCTCTTCAACTCGCTAATGAGACAGAAAACTATTCCCTGTTTTGGCTGGGCTGTGGTCTCTGTCCTGTCAGTGTGTCCAGCCACCAGTCAGGGGAACACGAGAGATGATGCGGGGAGAGAGAGATTTGACTCCCATCGCAGCAAGCTGTTAGATCAAGTGCTCGTGTAGATGTGTCATCACCTGATTCGGGTTTTGATCACCTCAAAACGAATCCAGCAAATGAAAAGCTCTGTGAAGAGGCCAGCCGTGAGACTGTATTAACCCTCATGCTAACACAGAAGTAGGAGTGCGATCGCATTCTGGGTGGGAGGAAGAGTCTGGGACTACCACTTCTGTTTGCAGTTTCACGGCCAAACGAAGGGTCTGTTCCTTCCCCTCTGTGTTCCCTCCTCCTCACTCTGGCTCTTGTCTGATCCCACACAGAATTCGCATGGTGCTCTGTACACCCTCCCTCCCTCTCTCCCTTTCCTGTACTAAAGGAAGTAGTTTCCTGCCCAGGGTGCATATATTAAGAAATCCTAGTTTGGCTTAAGAAAGAGAAGAGAGGTAACTTGGTTGCACACTGTGTACAGAAGTACCTCCACAGGTAGGAAATATATTCTCACTGTCATAAACCTTTCAAAGAAAGGTACATCAAGAGCCAAGGGAATTGGAAGCTAGACAAATCCAACCGAAAATTTAAGTGTGCATTTAAGTGAGGGTGATTAGCTGCTGTGCAAACAACCAAGGAAAAGATGGATCTCTTGTTAACTTCATATGAAGACCAGAACCCTTATTGGAAGATGTATCTTAGTCAAATGCAAACTGCAGACAAGAGGTTGAAAGAAACAGGTAAAATGTGATAATGTGTGTAAGTAGATGAAGTGGTATCTTCTCCTTGAATTTTTTGATCCCTACTTTAGGGACTGTACAGTATAAATTTGGATATAATGTATGAAATGAACGTATTGGACAAGAAAAGTCCTTGAGAAAGGAAACATAAGGGTTCTAATGAGATTGCACACTTTTGCTGTCTGGTGGTTCCACTATGTTTGTGTGGACTTCTTTTATGTGGACTATATGACAGACATAAGCTTGACAGAGAAATTGAAATGAAAACAGGGAAGATGCCATGCCGTTCATTCTATAATATTTTCAGTTGAGTATACTTAGGAGCTTGGGCTTGATTGCAGACAGGATTCGGTATCTATTGGTGTTCGCTCAGGTTGTCCTAAACTGATGTGTGCACACACGTGTGCGTGCACATGTGCATGTGATTTTTTTATTCAGTTTTGTAAGGTCCCTTTCGTATGCAAGCTGTCTTTTACTGGTTGTAAGAACAATCTCTAGAATATTGCTTTGATTGTGTCGTTTAAAGGGAAACTGCTGTTATAATCTAAATGTTGAAATTATGACTATTCCAGAGTCATAACTGCATTTCATACAGGCAATGCATGTGTTCTATTACTTTAAAATAAATAGGAAAAATTCTAGTGATAAGGGATTCCTTTTGCTGTGGAACAAGGACACTTCTAGATATATCCATGATATTTCACTTTCATGAGATGTTTCTGAAGGTGAATTTCTGAGTTGAGGAAGGAAATCAGCCTTGTAATTTAGAGTAATGACCAATAATTTTGTCATATCAATTTAATCTACACGTGGTAATTAGAGTTTTCAGGAGTCATTAGCAGCTGGGGTGTCACTCTGTGTTTATTGGAGGACTGTCAGCTGGTGCTTCTCTTTGTTTGTTTTTTAATATTAATGGTTTAGAAAGAAGTTGGTGCTCTAGAAAGAATTGAGAAACAAGCTTGGTTTTGCGGATTTTTATCACCCTGCCAAGACCCTGCGCAACTTCCTCTCCCTGTTGCCCGCAGCAGAATACGGAAACCTGACTGCTGAAGGCCACTTCTGCAATTGCACTGGTGCAGGGGAGCAGGGTGGGAGGAGGTCTTTTTGTTCTGCTGCTCGCTAGCGCCTTGGCATCCAAAGAAGAAAACAAGATGCACTTGAAAATGTCTCTTCAGTTGTTTCTCACACTGATGGGTTTCCTTCTCTTCCCTCTCTCTGCTGTCGTGCAGTGCTGCAGTTGAAGCTCCAGCAGCGACGCACACGGGAGGAGCTGGTGAGCCAAGGGATCATGCCGCGTAAGTATCACTTAAACTCTTTGTCTTGGTGTTTTTATGCATGTTTTTGAGTGGAGAATGGTTTCACATATGATTTGAAAGATGAGATTCTCTGTTTCTAGATGAAAAACATCATATATAAGGGCCCCACCCTGTCCCACCCAATTTGGTCCTTCTGAAGTGTTGGTACTCTAGGTACGGGGCCACCTCTGACACTGAGGAAGAGAGTAATGGCTCCAAGTGTAACTGTACTCCAAAACAATGTTTATATTTGATCACAGTAGAGAAGAGTCTTCTGGAGAACATGCTATGTTAGAAGTCCCCTAGATACTTCACACATGCTGGTAATCACTCTTTTAACAGGCTTCCTGCCTCTGCAGTTTCTGTTCTTGTTTGTCAGCGCCCCAGACCTCTGAGGCAGTTGTAACTTTGTATGTATATATTCCATAAACCAAGTGAAAACCAGGCAGCGTACAAGATGTTAACCAACAAGGGGCCGTGTTTTATGTTTGTAGCTAGAAAACATAGCTAGAAGGAGGCCTGTGGGCATCAGCCAGTCTCCTTCCTGCAGGGGAAGGCAAAATCTGCAGAGCCAGGGAACTTTTACTTGTCTGGGTGGACACATAGGATATACCCTAATGCCAAGCTTTAATAAATTGACTGTCAGGTTAGTGTTGGAGAAGGTATTTTTTTGTTTTGTTCCCCTCCTTCCCCCCAAAATGCAGAAAGATATCTGACAAATAGTTTTGTCATGCTTCAGTACCTCTGAACTAGATGACTTATAGGTAACAACTTGAAGCAAGACCAAAGAGCAAGTGTTTTATTTTTGAGGTCGTCTCAGTTTCACTTAACAGCTTTAGTAAAAGGCAATGGATCAGGTATGTTTTCTTCTTTCAAAAACTTTCCCCCTCTTCCATTTCACAAACATTATTTGAAGACTGTGTAGTAATGAGGAGTTTCTCATTCCTTCTATTTCTGGGGTGCACATTGTAATATGACACAGTGACGTGACTTAGACTTTGCTAAAGGTGTAAGGTTAGGCTGTCAGCTCTCTCTCTGAATGAAGAGAACCTGTCAGCTGAAGTAGCTGTCTGGAAGGTAGTGACGTGTGCAAGATGTTTCTGGGACCCCTACTTAAAATTCTATTACCAAATCAAAAAGGAAAGACTATCCTGTCTGGATATAGTACATCATGCCTGTCTTCTTATTTTTACCTAGGAAACTCATATACGTGCTTTTACAGAATACACTTATTTGCTTTTGGATGAAAGACTAGTATCCCAGTGACTGTGTCCTTTTACTAATGCTTCCCAGAAGAAAATGTTCCTGACTTCTTTGTGGTCTCCTGCTTTAAGTGGATATGTATGCAAATACTGTATTAAGTTACGTTCAGTACTGGCTTTCTTCAAAGTGTGGCTGGCCAAACTTGTGATTCCTAAGAGGGGTCTGTTTTATGGGCCCTTTGAAAATGAGGCCCTTGCAAGTAATTCAAGTAAGGGACTCAGAGTAATTAGTCAGTCTTAAATTTGCTTAAAATACAGCCTAAATAACTAGTCTTTGCAGACTTGTGCCCTTCGTTGCTTCATTTATGTCTCTTACATGTGAGTTCTATGACAGACCAAAGAAGAATGCTCAGTGAAATATCATTGTGAAAATATTGGTGACACATGAAAAGGTCCTTTCTGCAATACAGAAAAACCAGTTTAGCAGATCTACTGTAAACATGATTTGAAATTAGTTCCAAGTCATGGTATCATTTACCCATACCTGCCAACTGGAAATAACCACGCATAGGGAAATGTTTAAAACATTATTTGCCTGGGCCATTTTTAATGAGAAGATCAGATGTGAGATAAATTGTGATACTTAACGCAAAAGTCCCATTTTTAACCTGAGAAGTAGAGGATGACTAGGGGCCATGTTCCTCCTGAAGGCATCTCAGAGCCATGACAACTTTGCTTCTACTTTCAGCAGTTCAGAATAGACATTTTTACTTACTACGGGGAATGTGTAGGTATCCTGTATTCTCTCATCTCTCTGCCAGGTATCCTGTATTCTTTCATCTCTCTGCCCTGTACCCCTCGTCTGGGAAAACATTTAGGTGCTTAATCTTGTTCCTCTATCATCTGCTACTAAACAGGGCTACACTGGGCCCCATGCCTCCCTCCTGAGTTTGTTAGTCAGGAACCAAGCCCCACACAGCCCTTTATGATGATTTAACAAAAATAGAAATGTGGGAATCCAGAGGATGGTTTGGTGCTGAATGAAATGAGCTGGAGCGCTCTTTCCATGTGAAATGCTGGTTGGTTTCTAGCCTTTATTTTCCATCTGGAGAGCCTTAACACTCTTGAAAGAATTGTGGTAGTTGTGGTTGAATCTATATTAGCATTATAGCTTGTGTAAGGAAGGTGCTTTTGAAGTGAAGCTCCTGATTGCGTCTGCCTACTGTACCTTGCTTTGCACCATGAAATGAAGTTTGAGAGTTGGATTAAATTGGGATGAAAGTAAACTGGAAAATATTCTACCTACAGCTAATATGCATTCAGTCCACTACAGCTTGTCTGGCACACCACCTTCCGTTTCATCTTCACGTATCGAGTGTGGATGTCAGTTCCTCATCATCAACTGTTATTCTGTGCAGATTTGGTCTTAATATGCTATCCAACATGTTCATTTATATTAGCCTTTAATAGAGATCAGTTTGTGGATCTTGTAGCCAAACAGGCATGCAAAAATCCGTGAAACAAGTATGGGAGAAGTAAAAGTTTTTGTTTCACATTAAAGGCTATCTAGTGTGCAAACTCACTTTGGTACCTTTGGTTTTTCTGACTGCAATGTAGGTCTTACGTGGTGTTTAGATTCAGCTTGGTGCCCTAAATGAGAAATTGTATTTCAGGCTTCCATCAACACAAGGTTTTTGGACACTGTAAACCTGAGGAGTGGGAGAAGACACATTGGTGTCCCATTAAAGTGAGAGGGAGAGTCACACCACTCCTCCTTTGCTTGCTCAGAACAGAGCTGGGAATTGCTTTCTTTGTTCCCATGTGGAATTTTGTTTATATGGTAGAGAGGAAAGGCAAATGTTTCAACATTTTTTTACCAAGTACACTTAATCTCGCTTGAATAACCTTTCCAACCCACCAGCCACCTACAGTAGGGCTATGCTTCACTAAAAGATTAGTGTATTGTAATAAGAAATAAAGCATTTATAAGCAGTGACAAAGGATTCAAAATAATTGGGTTTTATGCTTCATTAATTCTTCTTGCTTTTCTGTTATCACTTTGTGTAACCTTTTACTAGTAGCAGGATTCATTAGTTGAAGACCAAAATTCTCAATTGCCCATAGAAAAGAGGTGGGAAGCAAGTCTTCATCTGCATCTGACATACCTGTGATTTGAGCTAGAAGGACTGTATCTAGAAACAAGGAGAGCTGAGTTTTCATATTTTTTCAGGTTTTGGCCTATTTTCTGATAGTGCAAATAGACAAGCTTTTTTGCTATTTGCATTTTTTTGTAATTATGCAGAGGTGATTTTCATCTTCTCGTCCTCAAAAACAAAAACTGCTGTCTGTGCTCAATTCTTTGAACTCTGTCATGCTGTAGAAGAATAGTCAGATGCTGTCAGTTTTTACAGCGTTGAATTTAAAGGTTACAGCTATTGTAAGGTTCTTTGGGGGAGTTTTCTACAGTTAAACACACAGTTTTCCACCCTTGAAAAGAATGTTTAAAACAGTAGCTAACCTGCATCTGAGTAGAAAGACATGTGGAAAGTATCTTCAACTAAAACAGCAAAAATTTTTAGGGGAAAGACATTTGGCAAATGTAGCAATACTCTGCTTTGCAAAATATGTTGTGCTTTTTCTGTTCTGCAAGGTTTAAAGCTTCACATGTCCATTGTTTTATCCAACGGGATCTTTGGCTTCTGGCTGCAAACACAAAATACAGGCAAGCATGCAAGGTTGTCATGTGGCAGAATCCTGCAGGAAAGCTGCTGTTGTGACCATCAGATTCACCTAAGCAGGCGAAACAGAAGTAGAAGATCATTTCTGGGAATGTGCCTTGTGTTGCTCTATAGCACTGCTTTGTGAATATCTGAAAGATGACACAGGCAGCCTTTGAAAAGGGCATCGTCTGGACTGAAAACTAGAAGGAGGGTGGCTGCAGTACAGGCAGAGAATTTCCAGGAGCTTCGTTTATTGGATGCTTGCCAGTTTTTGTGCCCACATCCAACTACTCTGACTGTATATTTGTGTTCCACGATGTGATATATGCAGAATGCATAAATGTATGTAGAATCCAAACAGGATGGAGTTTGTGCTGGTTTTCTGATGTGACTGTTTTTACGGGTGCTGAGGTGTTTCCATGCTATAGGTCTGCGTTACCAACAGTCTGATGCAGTTTTCTGTTTGGACATGCAGCCTTTTAGTTGCTAGAGTGTATTTTGGAATACAAGATTTGTGAATCTTGTGCTGCTGGGTTTCAGACTCTCCTGAAGAGAGTGTATTTTATCTCTGGACTACACGGGGGGAGTGTGCCATAGTTCAATTGCAACATGTCACACGATTAGGAATGATTGTAATACAGCAGGCAGTCTAATGATTATAATCTCATTAGGCCTTTCATATCACTAACTGCATTTTTTTTTTAGCCATAAGGTTAATGGAGAAAATTTAATATTTGTTATAAAGCTAAAATACAGTATTTGCTTTTTTGGGGGGGGGGGGGGGCGTTTTTTTTCGGCTGTGAGATATTGCTTAAAATTAATTCTAAAGGAATTGCCATTTACTGGGGACACTTAGTGATTTGAGGATACAGAACACAGGTTATGCTTTGGCATATCAGTGTGATCATCATCTAGGCAAAGCTTGTAACTGGTCTGCATCCAGCACAGCTTCCATCACAAGAAATTAAGGGTCTTTGAGGTAGTGATTTCAGGAAGTGAAATGCTTGCCACCTGTGAGTTTCTAAAGTTAAACCACGTCTCTAGACTTTAACACCTCAACCTCCAAATTTGGCCATAC